GGAATTTAAGAAATTACCACGTGAGCAAAAGGACATACATGTGGTGAGATTAACGGATGCACCAATACCAATCGCAGCGTCTCGTGACCCAGTAAAGGTGATCGAACTGCACATCTCCGAACCGATCAGGCATAAACCCGAGCTCTTGGATGAAATAAATCCCATACCGAAACCCAGAAGACACAGTGCGCTTAGTCTAAGAGACACAACTGAATCTAGATCAAAAGATGAAAGTAAAAGCTTAAAAGATGATGATAAGAGAGGAAAATCCTTCTAAAATTTTTAAGTTTCGTCCATATCTTTAGATTATACTTGTAGTCCATATTTTCCTAATGAAATTTTGTTGTTTCCGTGATTTCTATTGAAAGCATAATTGCGTTTAGGAATTTCGAAAATCTATTGTATTTTATATGAATTATTATTCAAAGACTGTAAGTACATTCTATATTATGTGTCTTCGTTTTCTTATTAGAGTGCAGTGATTTCATACTAACGCGTCGAATATACTTTTCTGCAAAAATATTTGCTGCAGAGAGAATCTAGCATTTCTATTACATTACATAATTACAGTGATAATTATGCATTATCTCATTTATGTATTATTTCATTTCTGATATTTTACTGTAATACTTACCTATTACTTTCATTATTTATTAATATAAAATATTATAAAATAAAGCATAAATTGTCATAGAACTATCTTGTGATAAAAATATATAATCCTACTTTAAATCTAAAATTTATAAAAGTATACAGAAAATAGGAAGTGACAAGAGCAAAAGTACATTTCTTGCTTTTCAAAAATATGTCACAAGTTATTTATTATAAAAATATTTTCGTTCATATTTCTGTAATTCGAAGAAATCGAATAAAAATGACGTTTAACAACGTTTATTTTTAATGCCTATTCGCTTCTGTTTATATTTTATAAATCTCATTAGATTTGCGTTTACAGTCGATACTACTACCGTGCCATCTTGTAAATGTTTTTTCTGCTGATGCATCTGTAAAACAATTATATCAAAAAAATCAATATATTAGATATTTGATATAATAAATAAGAAATAATATATTTGTAAAATAATATGTACCTTGCTTTTGAAATGTGGCATTATGGATAGCAATCGCGGGACTAATTTGATATCTGTTGCTAAATGGTCAGTCTCATCCTCTGCATATATATCCATTAATGCATCTATAGATTCTGCTATAACCCACACTCGAGTTTCAGTTTTAGAGATGTCCAATAAAAACATGGAAACAAACTGTCAGAAGTAAATAATTGATATACTTGGATAGAAAATCCAAAGAAACACAAAAATAAAAGTTACCTTTATCGCTTCGTAATTCTTTGAATCTTTTGAATTATTTTTACTCAACATGATCTGTACTAAATTGCAGAGCATTCTTATCATATTGACATGAACATTTATACTGACACATTGTTGTAAGTCATTTAACATCAGCTGAATATCGTTACAAGTTAACTGATTTAATTCGACGACATTCGCTTGTTCTTGGACTAAACGTTGAAGAATAGCTCTCATGGCAGCAGTACTTGCTTCTGCAAGTTCAACATCCTTCTTGATGATCTGCTTAAACTCTGTTGAAATATCTATCCATTTTCTGGATACAGAATATGCAAAATTAATAAAAACCAATAAAATTATAATAGAAAAGAAATACTTATTATTATTCAAAGAATTTGACAATAATCTACCTAAATAAATTATCAACTCCACCAAAAACATCAACCTCTATATTGGGTAATAAATTGTTTAAACATAAATAAGCTGTGCACTGAATGTTGTAAAATTGCTTCAATGTAGCTTTTCCTTCTTCAGTTTGATCTAATATTTCCTGGTTATTTTTATCTACCACAAATTTAGTCTTATCCCAAATTTTATCAATTAAGCTACAAGTGTTTATGACTTCAACTAGCTCCACTGGAAATGTTGACATTGTTTTCAAATCTTCATTCATAGAATCATCATCCAAACATTCAGACTCAAGCTCCATTGTTTCAAAATCATCAGTATCAGAATCGATTTCATTGTCCTCACATTCAAAACATAAATTTGCTAAAATCTGTAAAGCTTGTTCTTGCATTTCCAATATCTTTCTGTTTTCTTGTACCTTTTTTCTTTTATCGTTTGAAGAAGCATTGCTTTCATGTGGTAGGATAGACGTTAAGCAAGACAAAATTTGTCTATGATCGATCGCAAGTACATCAGATAGTATAGACAACACTTTACGAAAAACATGTATCCGGTTGTTATCAGTATAATTACTGATATTGATTAATACATCAGCTACACAAGTTTTCAGGAATAATATTTTGGAAGCGATCTTATCGTCTACTTTTAAATCCAATAGACTAGACAAAAGTGATTCGCTCTGTTTAATTTTATTAATGGCGGCATCATTCTCATCAGACAAGCAAATCAGGGATTGTGTAACGATCGTGACAATCTCTAGTCCATAAACGTCAATATTTAAAAACTTTATCAAAAGTGATACCAAATCTTCGTCATTAACACGTTTAATTGCACTCTCATTATTCGCGCATAATATCCGTAATAAACTAACTGCTTGAACAAAAGTCACTTTTTTGCCTCTAACTTCTTCTGATTTCCAATCTGAATAGTACTGTAGATAGAAAATTTATTTAACTTTTAAGTATTGTTACAAATTGTTATAATCAATTTCAATTCACTTTATATATTAAGAAATATATGTTATATATAGATATTATGTGGGATGTCATATGGCTCCGTGCGAGAGCGACAGACTTGTAACTAACAGGTCGCGAGTTCAAGTCCCGCATCCTGTTATATATGAGAAAAATTTCCATAATCCATATTAGCTTAAGTCTGTATCACACTATTCATTGGAGAGATGAGAATTGGGAATTGAAGATTAGAATTCAACCAATCAGATTGAAACGAATTAAAATTAAAATTATTTAACTGGTTGAATTTTAATCTCTAATTCACACTCTTCAGCCCCCAATGCTTAGTGTGACATGGATCTTTTAGTAGAAGTTATAAAGGAACTCTTTAGATCTAGGTGACTAACTAGATTCAGATATACAAGAACCGATATGATCCTACTCATCTTTTCCATTACTACTACTACTACTACTACTACTGCTACTAGATATGATAATTATTCAGAATACCTCCCTCACCTCCGATTTCGATAAAACTAGGCTCATTCGACGCGTTTTTGCATGAAACGAAAGAATCTGGCAGAAAAAAGTGTCGCTCTGCCTCGCGAACCGAGATATTTAGCGTTAAAGTAGACGACTATGGAGGTTAGGAAATCTGTCATTATACCGACTATGTGTAATAAATTAAACGTATGTAGTAGTGCTTAGACAGTGTCCGCTTGGAATATTTGTAACCCATGTAGACAGTGGGATGTATAGACAGTAATGCTTGCGTAGCCGCCCCGAACCCAAGCATTACTGTCTATACATCCCACTGTCTACATGGGTTACAAATATTCCAAGCGGACACTGTCTAAGCACTATTACATACGTTTAATTTATTACACATAGACCGCGGTCCGATACACACTCACAACGCTTAAAAATCATTTCATCCTTATTGTTTGTCAAATGTTAAACGAAGACAAACAATGCTCATGAGCGTTGTCAGCATGATTCGGACCACGGCCATAGTCGGTATGACAGATTTCCTAACCTCCATAGTCGTCAACTTTAACGCTAAATATCTCGGTTCGCGAGGCAGAGCGACTCTTTTTTCTGCCACATTCTTTCGTTTCATGCAAAAACGCGTCGAATGAGCCTAATTTTATCGAAATCGGAGGTGAGGGAGGTATTCTGAATAATTACCCTAGATATTATATAATATGTATGAATAAACAATATAAATGTTTTATACCTGTCTCAATAATATAGTAAGAGGAGTTATAATATCATCTTTGACTAAATCATTGCACACTTCTTCTCTACCATTTTCAGCAATTTCCCGTAAGGTATGTGCTGTATTCATTCGTATAGCGGCGTTATGATCCAATAACAATGGACCAATTATTTTTGCAATTCCATCCTTAGCGATTTGCTTCACCATAGAAGAGTCACAAGACATTGAGGCCAATATTTGCAGAGCAGATAATTTTTCTTCAAGATTACATGACCGAATCTAGATAGAGAAAAAAAATTAAGAAGAGACAAATCTTTTTGATATATCTTGTTAATTCTTATTAATTTCATTAACTTAATTTTATTAAATAACGTATAATTGATACGCATATTGCGCGCATCGATAAAACTCGTTACTCACATCATTGTAAACGTCCTGCAAAATCTTCTCCCTGTCTCCTTCCCCAAGTTCCTCATTTAATTCCTTATCGAACTCCTGAACGGATTGTAATCCAGTGGGATTTTCTTTGTGAAGTTTTCGCCGGTGCGGTTTCTGCTTACCCATCACCGTAAATAATTGCGGATATTTGAAAAATAATCAAATATATTCAAGTTTAAATCAATATCTCAAAGAGGTTGGACAAGTGCACATGTTGATCCAAATCTGTCCAAATCATCTGACACCTTTAGTTAATTTCGCAAAACTCATAATTAAGCCACTGCATCATCAATAATGAATAATATACGTTTCTGTATTATCAACAAAACATTTATATATTGATGATAATGCAGTGCACGACTTAATAACGATAACAACGCCACTGATAGATACGGTATATACTACACTATCTAAGGGCCTGCGCACAATAGAGGAACAAGAATTAGATAATAGATATTAAGATTTCAACCTATCAGAAACCGTGTATTCCGATGTAATCAGTTTCTGATAGGTTAAAATCTTAATATCTAATTCCTGTTCTTCTATTGTGCTCAGGCCCTAATGCAAACATGTTTTTTATCGAATGATGATTAAAAGATCGCATCGAATCACGTTGTATGGTAGTTCCGATATATTTATTGTTATACATTGTATTGAAAATTATCTAAAATTAGCATTCATTTGTCATCATTTAATAGCGTTTTCTCTTGGCTGCACTATCGTCCACTAGTGCAACACTCAGACAGTGTACCGTGTTTCCATGGTTGGTGCCGGTGGTAAGCGAACTCATTCAGTGTACCATGTTTCCGTGGCTACGGTGTAGTGCAAATTTTATGCACGAAGTGAGATTTTGCTATACCGTCTCAATAGGTCTATTTTTTGTGGCTGAACTAGTGTACACTTTTGGAACTTAAAGTGAGATAGATATACGTTTGATATTTGTTTAAAGCGAGAAAGAGAGTTCTAGAACAGTCTAGTGCAGGAACAGAAAACAGACCAAATGAGACCGTGTAGAACCAGTGTGATATTTAAAATTTGAAAATAAAAGTCAAGCGGGAACAGGGTTTTAGCATAATAATGATACAGTGTATGGTGTGCACCACTCTAGTGTAGTGTAGCAGGCACTATAGCTGAGTGTAAGGGTATATCCACACAAACTTGCATAGCCGCATAAACATATACATAAAGAAAATTATCCAATTGTAGTTCTCTTTTAAAGTCGTACATAAAATGTGGTTGGATAATTTTCTTTATGCATACGTTTATGCGGCTGTGCAAGTTTGTGTGGATATACCTTAACGCTTAAGCGGGGAGCACAGACTCTTGCATAACGCATAACACACATTCCATAAGAAAATAAACCAATCAAAGTTCTTTATTTCCTTCCTTTCCACGAAATAAAGGACTCTGATTGGTTGATTTTCTTATGCCTTATGTTTTAAGGCCCGTCTACAATACACGGAGTAAGAAGTAAGAGTAAGAAATTGACCAATCACAGTCGAATGTGAGAAGAATAATCGACTGTGATTGGTCA